CCCCCCCCCCCAATGTTTCTATGCCCAATTGCATCCGTTTGAGATTTGTCTCCCATTCGGATGCTTTTGCATGATTAAAACATGGATAGGTTTTTTTAGCACTGCTATGATAATAGTGAAAAACCTGGGTGATTAGCAGCATAATATACAAAACCACTTTTAGCTCCGATCAGCCATCAGTCGGTTTGCATACAACAGGCACTGCACCAAAATTTGTCCATGGTCAATACCAGATGCTCATCACCTATCAAATATGCACTTTGTACAATGCGCAAGGAAGGTAGCAAAAAAGAGACAAAATGGACTCGACTCAGGTGTGGTATCCAAGCTCTCATTTACAGACCACTCGATCAACCCTACTTGGGACACAATGACTTGAGAGGCTTAGCTACCACTTAATTTAAGTAAGTCTCGATTGTCTAAATAGTTGTAATTGACATAATTTAATATGCAGTGGACTAGGTAAGAAATGTACTTTTCGACGTTTTCTGAGCTTTCTGTACACAGGCCCCAATAATTTAGAGAACAAGATACACAAAAGTACTTACGGGAGTCGCTGGTGCTATAACACCACATGCGAAAAGTAGGACCTTTCGGAGGTAAATGGATGGGCGCTCATTTAATTGGGACCAGATTTGTGGCAGCAATTCGCTCTCTATTCGGGAAGGACCTGAAAATGAAAAGGGAAGCCGGTGTTAAAAATGAGCAAGTTGTTCGTCCAAAATTTAGGGGAAAATTCGATGGCTTTATTTCGGCTATTAATCTTTTTCGGCAAATAAGCATAATTATGCAACCATATAAATGTAGAGCAAAAAAAACAAGAGTAGCTTTTCGAAAAATCATATGTGAATTGATATTTAGCCTTATTTAGTCGAACTACAGCGGTAGGATTTAGTACTACTCATTCCTTACCAAGGCACTTAGCCAAATCACGACATTGCCGAAGGATTGTCACAATTCGTTTCATTTCCACCTTCGAAGTGTCCATTTCGGATGAATCCGTGAAGAGATTGAAGAGTGTCCGCAGAAGTTTATCGCGAACGGCACCATCCGGATGCAAGCAGATCGCCTGAACTAGGAGTGGAAGAGCCAACTGAAAATGATACAAGAGAGAATAAATTTAATGAATTTGATGTCTTTAGGTCGGAATTCTGGATAAAGGACATGAACGGTATGTTTTGCCCTCCAAGCCGACGATTGTACTTATTCATACACCGTTTTAACCAGGTAAGAGATATTAGCAAGTGATCTAGTCACAATGTGTTATCGCTCTGGGTCTCTTGTATGTGGTTTCTGTTGCATTGCAGTATATATATATATATATATATATATATATATTTCATACGACAATTACGCCATTAAAAAATTAATGGTGAAAATCCGATTAAGCAAAAATTCTCAGCCATTAATTAAACACAGGATCTTGGAGTCAACCCTCTACTACGACTACTACGGCAGACTTCAGGGTCTGCATATTGCTAAAAGATAGGCATAGAGCTGTGCTCTCATAGAGTCATGATTCAGGAGTTATTTCACAAAACACTTTATTTTCACAAAATGACACAAGAGAGAATAGAACTGTACCGTCGACAGAGCGTAAAGGCATAAAAGAGCGATGCGGTCTAATGGAAAAATGATGAGAAGCAAAGGACCTACAGCTTTTCTTTCATCCGGAAGGTACTTCAATATATCTTCAATCTGAGATCCAATGGTGACAATTATCTCATCCAAGCTGTCGGCAAGTCGGCAAACTTCAAGTGGAACATCACCTTCTGTATCCATTGGTGGTAGGAGTTCTGAGGCACAGCGAACGAACTCGGGTGCACAGCGTCTATAGTTACGTAAAATAAAAGTGCAAGTAGGCTGATACGAAGAATTTGCGATAGCACAAATAACTAATTTACAGATATTCAGGATGAATTTACAAAAGAAAAAGAAAAAATATCTGAGATGGATAGAAGGCAATAAAGCCTATTCTAGCTAATCTGTGATTACATAATTCTTATTATCTACAGTTGACTCATCAGATCGAGTATAGATAGTACTCAAGACTGGCGTCACCAATGGGGATTAGTGCGATTGACTTATGAGCCTCAAAGCAGCCATGCGTATTTTTCAATGTTACACAAGCTCCTTTCTTACCAAATAAAGGTTTGACCTCTTCAACCGCGGTCACAAAGTCATCTGCTAACTCCAGGATAAAGCCGTCAAAACTAAGTAAGCTAATTAGGATAACAATTTCAGACATGAAAAGAGTTTTCTTAATAACATAAAAGTAATCGATTCGCATTGATAAAGCAGTTGACATGGCAACCTTTCTACAAATTTTAACAATGATATATAAGCCGGTACGCATAATTATTCAAAATTCAAGCTTGCTTAGGTATGACCTTAGAAACGGCATATTGTAGATGAAAGCGGTAAAAATGTAAAAATGCAAAAGAAGCCACTTTAAAGCTTCCCAGACCTCTCTTCAATAAGCCCCCTTTTCCTTCTATTCCTATTTCCAATAGGAATTTTTAATAAAAATAAATTTATGGAACAACCGCTGCATTAATATGAATTTCTCGCTTTAGGGCAATAAATTTATTCCAAGTGTTAGGTCATAAAATTAATTTCTTTAAAATATCCTCCATTCATTAAAAACCATGGAAAAATAGAAACAAAAAATAAAACCATGTATGGAATTAAGTCACTAAATTGAAACTTGAGTCAATAAGAGGATATGCCTAAAATCCACTCAAACTCAGCAGTGTTTCAGCATAAAATACTGAAATACTACCGAAAGAGCATACGCATTCTGGATATAGAGGAATGGAAACCTGTGCGGGGTGGGCGAGAGAGGGGGGGGGGGTCGATTGTTCATTTTTGAATCCTTTATGTATATTTAGGTTTTCATATAAAAAAAAACATTTCAACACCAAACTGCTCCACCAAGAAGTGAAATTTAAATTGTTCCAGGACGATTAGAGCTTAAACAAGCAAAAGCGTCATACAAAACTTCTAAAAAGATTTTAAATTTCAAAAGAATGGCAAAAAATTGGATAATGATGGTGTATCACACTCTCCTTCCTACCAATGCACATTTTTATATTCTGAGCATACGGCTCGTCACTTCCATCGATTTATAATAGATAGAAGGAAGAAATGATCGGGATAGAAATAATTAACAAACCAACCTTGTAAATAGGGGTTGATTTATAACCAGCTTCCGAAAAGCGTCAGTCGATTCTGCGTTCTTTGGATCAATTGTCGACGTGGTTGAGCATTTTGCTGGTGATGTCATCGTTTCTTCTTCCTGATCACAATCTTGTACTGACTTTTGTATCTCCTCGGAAACCGAATCTTCCTGTTTGCCTAATGTTTGAGGCTCAACTTGAGTTGAATTCTTACTTGAAGTTTTCAAGGTAGTTCCAACCAGGAGAGGATATTCTCTGTTAAAAAACGGATTAAATAATCACAAATGATGAAGGTACCATGTTGAATGTGTCGTTGATAGATTCATCAACTGCCTTGTGCCCTAAAAGGGATTCAAATAGATAGGGGTGGCTTGACCTATCGACCGATCAGTTGGATTATTCTTGTCTCTCACCCTCTTCCTCTAATTGACTCTTGTTATTACAAATAATAGTGCAAACAACTAAGGAAGGTTGCTTTGAAAGTACAAGCCACTTCAACCAATTGTAGCTACCTACCAAGCTGGCAAATTACAAACTCGAACGACAGACAATCCCACACAAAACTGTTGCATACTTCTTTCAGGCATAAAAGAGCCACTGTTTCTGAATACTTACGCATTGGAAAAAAGCAAAGAAACTTTCATCCTCGTCGACGGCTTTTAAACTGCCATCAATTAATGGATTACGTAAGGAAAACAAATTGACAGCAATGAAAATCGCATTACTCATTGAACATTTTGATATATTTCCAATTGTTTGCTTCGAGCCAAGTCTAATTATTAGGAATTGCAGTGAAAGGTCAAGAAATCTTATTGGTATCAAGTAGGATTTACTTTGTCTTCTCAGTGTTAAGAGGAAAAAACTCGAAGCATTCGTCAAGTTTCGGAAAACGAATTAACCATCTAGTAAGTAGTGTACAAACCAAGCACGAATTCTTTTAGACATCTTGAATTTACTCAACATCCCCGCCTCCCCCCCCCNCCCCGCCCCCCCCCCCCCTCCCTCCCCCCCCCTTATTACTCATTAACTTCAGCTGGAATTACAATAACAATCTACTTCTAAGGTTTGTCATATGGAAAGCGTATATAATATGGTATCATGAGAGAATGAGATTAATTTATTTGGCATAATTTTCAAAATATGCCCACCAAAAGTTCTTTCTTGTCGAAACTTCGAGTGCGTAAAAAGGGAGTTAACTTTCTCTCTCAAGAGAGAGAGAGAGTATGAAGCGAAAGCGCTTGACACTCCCACGCGCACACTTTAATACACATGGATTCGAGTGAGAAAAGTGGCTTACCGTTTAAGGCAGAGTAGTTGATTTCGCCAGTAGGTAGATTCCTGCGCAAGGCTCAAGTTCTCTGCCTCTATTCGAGTCACCTTCCCTCGGAGTTCACCGATTTGCTGACGCTGTAAAGCCAAATATATGAAATGGGTGATAAAGTTAACTTAGCCATATTTTGAAGTAGGATAATAATTGAGAAATGGGGTGTGGGATAGACTTACCTCCTCGTGGTGCACCCT